TCGGTCGACTTTCTCTTTTCTCTTCTCTTCCCTTCTCTTTCACTCTCGTCAAGTCTCATCTGACCGCGTTTATCGTCGAGCCTCTCCACCGTCGCAGGTCCATATTCCACTGTTTCAAGCTACATACTACGCTACTACGCTCAGATAATGCGAGTGAATTATGCGTTTCAACTATACGATGTGCAATAGTGTCGTGTTAACCGGCCTGGATTTCGCTTCGTTAACTGACCATCGATATCCTCATCAGTCGTTGAATCTCGGTGCCTCGAGGTGATCTTTGCAAACTATGCAGGGTGATTTCTTATCTCCTCTTGCTTTAAAAAAGATTTTCTTTTCGGTCGTAGCGTCGTTGAATTTCGTACTCACTTGAAAATACCAACTATCTCTCGAGCTCATTGAATCCTTTCTTGCAGATCGTGCATTTATCGTTATTTCTCTCAATTGATTTCAAATTTCACCAAAATTTTAATTTCATTAATATTATATGTATGTTAAATTTATTGAAAAATAAATTATGGAAAAATAAATTTTAATTTTTATTTATTTAGTTAAATAAATGTCTAATATGGATCATTTTAGTATTATTTTTAATTTTGTTATTTATAATATAAATTAATTTAAATATAACACATATTATAAATTTTATTAAATTATTATTGTCGTAATTTTATTTGATTATAAAACGATTTTAATTAAGAATCTTATGTTAATATTTAATTAAATTAAGTAAATTATAATAATAATTAATATAATAAATATTATTTTACATTTATTATATATAAAATTAGGGTTTAATGGATTGAGTTTTGTATATAATGAATATTTTTTGTAAATATTAGATAAGTAATGTTCAGCATCTCACACAAGGTGCACACAATCAACATTTTCTTTAATTATCTATAACTAGAAATAAGTTAGGATATTTATAGACATTTTTAGATTTATATGACATTTTTTACTTATTTTATTATGTAGATTCATCACATCAAAGTAAATACATTTGAGAATCACCCTGTATAAATATATCAGATATTTTATTCATGCTTCAGAATTTCTTATAAATACATTCTACAAAGAGAAAAGGTGGAAACTCACGAATCAAATTTGCGTATTTCACTTGCTGCTAGAGAGCCAGAATTCTTTGATCGTCACTAACGTATTCTCTTAATATTTTACGGTCTGTTAATGACATGATGCCGTTAGCCATTTGATGGGCCACTTACACAACTGTTTAAGAAAGTAAAGTGCACATTCAAAAATTAAAATTTCTAATGTTAATGGACAAACAATATAAATTTTGCAGTAACAAACGTTTAAAATTATCACGATAGATTTTACAAAATTAAAATTATAAAATATCTCCTTTAAATTTATTAATAATTTTTCGACATACATAATACGTAATTCAATTTAGAAAGCCTATACTAAAATCATTACTGCCATATCTCTGTTTTGAATAACTTTAATTAACAAAGTTTTCTCATATCTCAAAGAACAACGAAAATATTCACAGTACTAATTCTTGTTAGATTCATATTTGCGATGTCGATAAATTGAAACAATTCAGCGCAGATCACTAATCGCAAAGTGTTAACGCCTCTTATTTTATTTTATTTTTATATATTTTTATATATTTAAGCAGACGATGAGTCCTTTAGCAGCAACGCTTATTTAATCATGGGAACTTTACAACGTACAAAATTTATTTAATTCAATCGCAATTTTACAATACCACCCTCAGTAACCTATAACCAGTTAACGAGGTACAACGTCAGAGCCAATTCACTAAAAAGTTCTCTCTCTCTCTCTCTCTCTCTCTCTATCATTAAATTATAATCCATGCTCCCTGAGAATCCCCTTTCTTCCAGATGAGAACAAAGTGGCCTACGGTTACGTGTCTCCGTCCCCCTATGGACCTGTTGGATACGGCCCTGGCGTTGGGGTAGGTCCAGTGGCAGTTCCTAGCGACGTACCCGGTTACGACGAAGGTCATCCGGTCCAACTGCCCTCCGGTGTACCTCCGGGAATGTTCGACGACGAGGTTCATCTTCAACGGTTACAATCCCGGCACCCGGTGGTGCCCGGCATGGCCAGCCCACTGGACGACGATCAGAAATCCATGAGATGGCGGGATCCGAATCTGTCGGAGGTGATCGGCTTCCTCAGCAATCCGAACAACATCATCAAGGCGAACGCTGCCGCGTATCTGCAACATCTGTGCTACATGGACGATCCGAACAAGCAGAAGACGCGAAGCCTGGGCGGAATACCGCCGCTGGTGCAATTGTTGGATCACGACAATCCGGACGTGTACAGGAACGCCTGTGGCGCGTTGCGGAACTTGTCTTACGGCAGGCAGAACGACGAGAACAAGAGGGCCATCAAGAACGCCGGCGGTGTCCCGGCCTTGATCAATTTGTTACGTAGGACGTCTGACGCGGACGTTAAGGAACTGGTGACGGGGGTTCTCTGGAATTTATCCTCGTGCGAGGTGGGTACACACAACGATTGTGTCGCGCGTTCGATTGAATTTTAAAATTTTCCTATGAATATCTTTACATTTACAATGCTTTTCAACGTAATCGATTGTAAGCCGAGTAAAGAGTTTTGCCCTGAACGACAGGCATTGACGATCCAGTGAGGATTCGCTTCGATTCTCAAGAGTTGACAAAATCAACGATTCTTGTTTTTACGATTTTTGATAATATAATTGAAAAAGTCGAAAATTGTTTTATATGTTAAGCATTATAAGAAACTATAATTAAGGAGAATATTTTATCCTTAATTTTCCCATAAATACACAAGAATCTACAGCCCACTTATAACAAATAATTATTTTTCTGCCATTACTTTAAACTCTTTATTGAGCTATTGGAAATTAAATTTATACAACGCTAAAAGATTGATTAATGAGAAATAGTTAAATTTGTAAATTTCTTAATTAATAGTAAATCTATTGGGTGTAATTCATTCTAAGGTATAGATCATGGTTTTACACATTTTGTAAGAAAGCTGTGTCAAATTAATACAGACAACGAACGAATTGATTATTTATCACAATACAAAATACGAGATGAATTTAATATAAATGACTATAATAATTTATAATCCAACTATGTTATTTGAAGGTCAATATAATACAAAAAAATGAAGACATTATTATTTTTAATATTAATTGAGCTACTTAGACGCCAAAGTAGAATTCCATTTAGTGAAAACTTTTTAATTTTACTTTAAAAATACATGATTAGTGTTTCATCATAGATTAATTTTTCAAAAATCAAACTGTTCATTTAAAAGAATAGATCAGTTTAATTTTTTGTATTATCATAACTTTGTAAATTATACTAGACTTATTAAACTTGTTAAGATGATGATGGATTTCAATCCATTTATAAATGTGAATTTGTGTTTATCTGATATATTTAATAAAAATGAAAAAAGAAAGTAAGTTGAAGTAATTCTATTAATTTTTTGTTACTATACAGAATGAACATTATATAAGAATACCACATTTTTCATATGTATAGATTTTATAAAATTAAAGTTAAAATATCTTCTGTACTAAGTTAAATTAAATCTTCTAAACTTAAATTATAAAATATCTTAAATCTATAAAATTAAAACTTATAAATATAACTTAAATTATAAAATAAATATAAAACTTAAAAATATAAACTTAAATTATAAAATATCTTCTAAAACTAGTTTTTAACGTACACGGATCGATACTTTTTTTACAGAGTCGATTTATATTGACGGATATATTAAAAGAATATATAATTTCATTTAAAAACAAAGTTATTCTAGGCGTTCGCGTAAGAAAAATCCATATCAGACACGCCCTGAAATTGTATTTAACTTTTGTCTGATATCAGTATATGATATAATTTGTTAGTATATAAAAAATCTACTAATAAAATTTAATTGTAAAATTCTGACACAGTCTGTATATAATATATTTAAAAATATATCAAAGATTGATTACTTTATCAGTTAAAATAGTAAAAAAATTACCACTAATCATAATTCGTATTTACATCTATCATTGTTTCAGGACCTCAAAAAATCTATCATTGACGACGGCGTAACAATGGTGGTGAACAACATAATCATCCCACATAGTGGCTGGGACCCAAGCTCCTCCAGCGGCGAGACTTGCTGGTCAACCGTGTTCAGAAACGCGTCTGGCGTTTTGAGAAACGTTTCCAGCGCTGGCGAGTACGCGAGGAAGAAATTACGCGAGTGCGAAGGTCTGGTTGATGCTCTTCTCTATGTAGTACGGTCTGCCATCGAGAAGTCGAACATCGGCAACAAGATCGTGGAAAATTGCGTGTGCATCCTGCGGAACCTGAGTTATCGGTGTCAGGAAGTGGAGGATCCAAACTACGACAAACATCCGATTCAATCAACCGTACAGAACAGGGTGGCGGCTCCGGCTAAAGGTGAGGGTTTGTCGATGTCTTCTGTGAGGACATCCTTGCATTTCGAGAATGAGACGTGTGTACCCTTTCCCCGTGCTATGGTAAACACACGGATTCCCTCAGTGGGCATGTGGTGACACGCATGCAGCCGAATTGTGTGTGCGCTAATGATAAGCGGATCGTCTTTTCCCTTGGGAAATTGATAAGATAAGAAGAGGCAGGTTTGCACTTTTGGTTTGTTCTGTGCGACGAGAGAAAAAGAACGGCTAGCGGGTGTAATTTCGATTCATTCTATCGTCGAGTCGTTTCTGTATGTATGGGCAGTACTACAGCGGCCATTGTGGTACAGTGTGCTGCAAAAGCGAGACAATGGGAAATTTAAGATTCTAGAATAACTGATAGAAAATATCATATGTTTATTTCGAAGAATTTCATATAATTATTTATTGATGTTTTAATATATAATGAACTAAGTTATAATATACAAGATAGATTACTACTTCAAATATCTCCTTTGTTTTTAAAGATATAAAAGAACTTCTTTAATGAAAATTATTAAGTACAGAGGAGACCATGTGAGAGTAATAATTCTTTTGTAAATGGAGGAGTTTTAAAAATTTCAAACTTACATTCACTTTTTTAAATGAAATCGTATACTTTTTGATTTATTAATGGCTGAAATGGATTTATAATCATTATCTATAAGCATTAAACTATGTATGTCGAAAAATTATTTAGTTTAGCCCTTTGTACTTAATAATTTTCGTTATCAAGTTTTTTTCAAAATAGAGATATTTGATAGTAATGATTACAAATCTATTTTGTATAATATATTTAAAATATCTGTATTTAAAAGATATCTTCTAAATGAAAACATAATAAACTCAGTATTTACGTAATAGCTTTAATACTCACGGAATATTATATGTTATTTATTTAACCATTTATCAGTAATTTGTGAAGTATTATATATTATCTGAAAAGTAAATATTACATGGTTTTTTGTAAACACAATTTTGATAATTTTTTTTGAGTCAACTGAAGAGTAAGTTGATAAGAAGATTTACGATTCAATTGATAACTGATAAATTGAAAATGTAGAATTTGCTAATTACTCTGCTTCATTTAGGTAGAATTTTAAACATTCACGTTCTATTGCAAGAATCAAGCCCATTTATAAAATTCTTGTTATCAAGCACTGAAATTTAACATTGTCTTGCTTTTGTATCTACGCGGTAGTAAACTAAATTGATGTTGTACAATGAAAATTAGTTCTCTGAAAAGTAGAATCGATAGTTGTAGCAATAGCTTCACGCGGAATTAGCCGAGTTGTAACGGGAAGGGGAAAAAAAAAATGAAGCATTTTAAAATGTACATCCGCTTGGCAACACAGTATTGTACAGTAAACCAGTCGCATTAATGATATATTGCACGCTTCAGATTCTATAGAATGTGAAACGTGCAAAGTAGTAATTAGGAGTTGTAGTTGGTCCCGTATACTTTTTTCAATCTATGAAAATTATATATTCCACATCTATGTACACTGAACATTCGTTGTAATGCTTACGTCTCTGTTGATATACCGCTTACACGTTTGATTAAACATAATTGGGTGTGTTCGTGATAATGATATCTTTGCGAAACGATGATACCCTAATTAGCGTTAGCACATATTATCAGTCGATTAGTACGTACCTTTCTGCAACTACACTGATTTTTGTGTTCCCTTCGGTGTTATGATTTCTCACTTGTTTCTCTTGATCCTTGTGCCACAAATTCTTTTTCCGTACGAGACCAAAATGCTACAAGAGACAAGAAGCAAAAAAGAAAAAAGATAAAAGAAAAGAAAAACAAAAAAACAACAAGTTTTACATCCTTTCTAGTTTAGCATGGATTAAATATGTGTTTCAATCTTTTTAGCATACAGTTTATGTCAAGGTAAGACATTCTTGTACTTTCGTCGCTATTTAATTTTTGTTCCTTTATGTTAATTCCTTTTCTCTACATTTCTTTTTTTTTTTTTTCTTTCATGGGACGAATCCAAATAGTCAGTCAGTGCATGTTATGCTTCTCGAAGGTTACTCTCCAGTTTTTACATGACGATTTTTTTTTTATCGTGAATTAACTGACAACTACATGAAAAATAAGTGACCAAACAAGTCATGTGATCGACGTTGCAATCATTGTTCCAATATTAATCCCACGCCATGCTGCTCTAATGAACAGATATTTTAATCGACAAAGAAAATCTTGCTGTTACTAATAACAGTACAAAGATGCATTCAATGTATGTAATATGTAAATCAGCGGATATCTCAAATATCTTAAGTAGAACGAATGTTTATTGCAAATGGACAAAACAAATTTCTATTTCTTTTTTATTTCTTCAATTCATTTCTTCAGTTTATTTTTCATTTCATTCATAAAAATATAAAAACGTAGTCTATTCATTACGTCGCATAATACCTATAAATACATTACATTACATAATTCCTGTAACGATACCATAAGGAGAGAATACATGTTTATGAAATATTAGATATTTAAAAATATATATAGATTGCCTATTTTTATACATTTATGGAAGATTTTGTTGGAATACATCGATGAATGATGCGAGCGTGTGAGTGTGATTGTCTTTTGTCGTCAACTAA